ATCAATATAGGATGGCCTCGACGTACAAACGATAAACTTACAATCGACTGAATTCTCGTACTCGTGGATTTTATTTTTCTTATTATTCGTAGATTTTACCCTAAAATATATTACACAACTTTCCGAAGAAATTGTAATTGCGGATTTTAGTCTGAAATATTATTTTGATGTATTTTAAAATTATGTTTATTACAAAATTAAAGGCTTCGTTAAAGTATCTACAAATGTAAAAATATTGTAGATAAATGTTGATGTTGCATTTATGAAGAAACTAGCGGTCTGTAGCAGCAAAAATGCTGAACAAAACTACAACAAATGGTTTTCTAAAAAGAAGCATGAACACTGCTTAAGAGGAACGTGTAAAATAATATCGTATAACACTTCAATAAATTAAATATTTTAACAAAAGGAATCTTCACGAATACTGATATAAATTATATACAGTTTAATAGTTCTTACATACACAAAATTTAGAAAAAAAGTTACTTTTCCCTAACGCAACATTTAAAATAGCAAATATATGAAGGCGGATGGCATCTTCTCGAAGCCTTGCTGTCGCATGACGTCTGTTGTGTCGTAACCAGTGAGTCGACGGGTATGATAATTCTGTTAGTACCCGTAGTATGAAAATAATCGAAATAATAAAATCAAATATCAGCATTCTTCAGCTAAATCTGTTTCGTTGTTTTTAGATTTTCCCCGAGTTTCTTGGTACGTAACGACACCATAGATATCTTATTTGGTCATAAGTTGTTTCATTTTCTTCCAGTTTTTGCACGAGAAAATTAATAGTAGGTAGTTACATTTTCCACAATCAAATTTGATTAAATATTAATATATTACTTTACATTATGAATTATTTTCTGATGTTTTTCTTGTGCTTATATTATAATTGAGTCGGCATGTTGCAAGTAATTTCATTTAAATTATTAGTGCATAATCGCTAACACTTTACAAACACTCACTTCCTAAATTATGACTAAGTACATACTTTGAAATGCTTAAAAAATAATTGAATGTTATTAGTAATGAATTGTCAATGTTTTTAATATTATTCTCTTTGCTGGAAAACAAACGAGAATATCCTCTCTCGAAAAGCTATTTTTTTATTAAAGTTACTCCTACGTGTTATTACAAGTTGGTTACAAATATGATATTGTCAAAACATAGCTTACATCTCATAAATAGGAAATGATACCACAAATTTAATCACAAATAAATGCACATTAATTTAGGAAATGAATCATTTAGATAAACATAAGACATGTTCCGTTCATTTATCACTGTAACACATGTTCATTTACCCACATTAAATGTAAGTCAAAGTTGTTAGAAAGCTCGGGGCTGTCATCAAACAAAACAATATTACTAAACTCGTCTGATGTGATTTGAACGAATATGTGCTGTGTACAATGAACCGTAATAGCTCGTTCCCAGAAACAAATTAAGCATGGAATTCAATAAATAAACTGTATATTCAGTGGAATAACCCCCCCAGAATTAGTAACGCGTCAGATAATCTAATAACCAAATAACATCCAGTGATGCCCATGATGAGAATACAATACCTGAAAAAAAAAATTCCGTGAAAAAATAAAAATGTAATTGATACAGATTAACATTTATATTTGAAAATATATATATTGCCGACAATCTCTTAGAGCAATATGTATGATCATACATATGATGATTAATTTCAAATCCGATATCTGAGCACCGACACTTCAGTGAATGGCAATTCGTATTCATCATAATTGATACTCATATATGCTTTGTATTAACCGAATTATTTGTCCTATCATATATTCGCTCTTTTTAATGTGCACAAGTAATGCTTCTCTTCTTTCGTGGTAGTTGCTTTAGACAAATCTATTGCTTCACTATTTCAGACGAACGCAATACTATTTCGTAGTATCAATGTCTAATTTCAAAATAATTTAGCATTTTAAATATTGCATACTCAATCACCAGAAAATTGAAATCAGCAATGTCTATGCATCTCTCCAAACTCTGTAGAATAAAATAGTTTGACCAAACCAAAATATACGATATTGTTTTCGCGGTGTTTTCTTTTAAGAAATTAGTTTTGTATATCTTATTTTTCCAAAAGGGAACCTCTCATCATTATCGTGATTTTCGTTCAATTTCCCAACAATTCCAACAATGAATACAGAACAATGCATAAACATATAAATTTAGCGATGTAGAAAAGAACACTCAACTTTGTCTGAAGGTCCAGGGAGGGATTCTCATGTCACTCTTCACCTCGAAATTCACTTAACATTTGCTACCTTTGTTACAATCATATAACTCCCAGTGTCATATTTACAGTTGTGCTTTTCCGCCTGAAGGGGCATTCACCGCAACCCCTGGAGCGCGGAGGGCAGGGCATTCCGGCGGCTTCACGGAGGGCGCCGGGAGGGGGCGGGACGCGGTCAAAGGTCCGGCGCGGCTTTGTGGGGCCCCTGCCTTCTGCCGGCGGTGGCGGCGGTGGTGGCGGCTGTGACAATGACAGTGGGGATTGGAAATAATGGCCGAGATGGAGGTTGCGGGGAGTGGAAATAGTGGCTGAGATGGTGGGTTTGGAGGTTGAGGTGGTGGTAATGATGGTGGCAGCGTTGACAGCAGTAAGGTGATGGTAAAGATGGTGGAAGCAGCAGAGGCGGTGGTTTTGTTTTAGGCGGTGCCAGTAATGATGTCAGAGGCAATAACGTGATGGAAAAGGTTATCAACGGTGTGGCCGAGACCATGGGATGATGGTGATGAACATTGCGGTGACGACAGAGGTGATTGCGATGGTGGTATGAGGACAGTGGTAGGGTGGGAGCAGTGGGGATGAGCGTCGCTGTGGGGTAGGTGATGACAGAGATGGCGGCGGTGGGTATCAAGCGGCGATGGGGGATGGTAGTAGAAGTGGGGATCGTATATATGGCACATTCTATGGCAGAGATGGTGGCTGTGGGGGGTTTACGGTGGCTGCAGAGTCAGTGATGGTGATGGTGTTGGAAATGGAGATTGTGGTGTGGGTGGCGGTTGCAATGGCGGTGGCGGTTGCAATGGCGGTGGCAGTGGCAGTAGCAGTGGCAGTAGCAGTGGCAGTAGCAGTGGCAGTAGCAGTGGCAGTAGCAGTGGCAGTAGCAGTGGCAGTAGCAGTGGCAGTGACAGTAGCAGTGGCAGTAGCAGTGACGGTGGCAGTAGCATTGGCGATGGCGAGGGCCGGAGCGTTTGTGACAGCGGTGGCGGTAGAAGTGGCGATGTTGGTCGCAGTGGAGAATGCAATGGAAGAGATGGTGGCGGTGGTTATTGCGGACGCGACACAGGCGGAGGTGGCGCAGGAGGTGGAGATGGAGTAGTTGGAGGCGGCGGCAGCCGAGCCGCTGTGGAGGCGGTGGCGCGTGATCGCAAGCGCCCGTGCGTGGAGGCGGACGCGTGGGGCGGAGCTCTCCACAAACAGAGTGGCTCCGTGGGGCAGCGACCCCCGGGGTGGAAGGATGGCGCGATCGGACGAGGGGATCGGGATGCGGGCCCCACAGAAATGAGATGCAATGTTGGTTGAAGCAATGAAGAGAATGATGCAGGCTATAGGAAGCAACTGGAGCGGTATGAACGTTGCAGCAACGAAATGATACGATGAAAGACACCTTAGAAGAAAAATATTAGTACCGTAAGGTGATTATGAATAAAGCAATGGAACAAAAGAGAAAGATTTGGTATGTGGTTGCTGAGTTTGTGATGCAAGAATCATAGTTCACATTTAACTCTCACACTTAAACATTTCACGATACTATAACTGATAACAACAAATGAAAATATTGTAAAAATGAGGGTAGAGTTAAATAACAGTAATAACGTTAGAGTTAAATAACTTAAATAACATTCAATAAAAAATAGGAAAAATACTAATTTTAAATGAAATTTTAAGAAACAAGTGGCTTCAATTCACATTATTTATTGCGAACGCATGAATTGTAGAGCCATCTTTTCACAGTTTTCTTTCACATTAGCGAAGGAAAATGAAAAAGAAATGAAATCTCAATCTTCGCTTATCAGCTCAAAGTACAGTTAGATGCTAAATGCGTTACGATGTGTGATGAGACTATCAGAGTGCAAACTCTCTGGGAAGCTGACACCTTGCAGAACGGGTTTAATAGAGCACTGGTTGGAAGTCTGCCTCTTCTCCCCTGGCAATCCGACGTCACCCCTTCCCTTCCTCCCTTCCTCTCCTAACCCCTTCCCCGCTCCCCTGCTCCCCCTCTCACCCGTTCTCCCTCTCCTGGGCGCCGTCGCCCTGGGCAAACGGCCGATCTAATTACGCCGCCGCGATGGAGGTTGACTTAAAGCCTCGAGCGAGTGACATTAGCCCTTTTTAAAGCCCGCATCGCGCCCGTCATTTGGCCGACGGGCGGCGAGGCAGCACAAAGGAGAAACAGCGAGCGGGAGCTGGAAAGCGTACAAGAAGAGGTTATGTGAGGCCCCGAAAAGAGATCGGTACGAAAGGAACACAGCAGCTACACACAAGTGTCAAAGGGAGAGAATGAGTGTCGGGAGGAAAAGAAACAGTGAAAGATGAAAGCGGAGTAGAGAATTTATTGTAAGAGTCAAAGAACAATTGATAAAGAAAAAAATATGAATACAGAAAAGCCAGAAAAAGACACTGTACTGAATACAGAAAAAGCCAGAAAAAGACCCACAAAATGTACTGCTGAAGGCGACGATTATGGAAGAGAAGAGGAACATGATACGAAAAAAAAGGTCTTATTTATTCTAAAAACACAGTAGCTAAACGGTAGAGCAGCGAGTCAGTCCCAGGAAGAGAAAAATAAATTTGAACACAGGAAATACTTAAAGGATGAAAGGAAAACAATAATTACTACAAGAAGGTAACTTTTTTAACCATGGTGGATGAAGAATAAAGAAATAAGACTGGCAACGTCTGCTAAAACAGGGGAGAAATACAATAGAGGAGAGACTGCCGAAGCAATGAACGTCGACTGAAAAAGAGGTGCGAAACGTCAGCACGAAGGAGAAAGGACAAGTTGAAAAAAGGTTGACGTGGACCCGGTTATCACGTCCGAAGAATTACACTCGGCGACGTTCCCTTCAGAGAGGATTCAATCACTGGCGCGCAGACGGCTTGTTAATTAAAATTAATATCGTTGATGGGCCGCTTAAAGAGCGGGCGCTGGGGCTCTGAGGCGGGGCGAGGTGGGGGAGACGTCGCAGGCGGAGGCGTCGCTCCTGACGACAGAGGTGGTGGTGGTGGGGGGGAGGAAGTGGGAGCGACGATGGCGGAGATGGAGGCAGGTGGGAGTCGGGATGCGACACCGATGCCGATAATTTTAAAACATCAACGTTTTTGTACAAACGTCGATGTTTTAAACATCGATAAATTAACGCCGATGTTTTTTTTCACATCGATGTGTTGTGATCGATGTCTTTTTTTTCTTTTCCGATGTTTTGTTTCTGAATAAAAATTTCCATGATCACAATACTGTAAAAGTTAAAAAGAAAATGAAATAATAACTGATGGTAACTTTGTAGTTCATGTGGAAGAACCAAAGGATCGCTTACTGCCTTCATCGACCAATCTCTCTCTCACCCGAGATCTCATGACATCTATTTCTTCGCATTCATTTCGCACATTGAAATTCGGGCAACAAATAAGCTGTGGGCGTCTGCCCCTCCTTCTCGCACCCTTATTCCGGGAATTGATAAACACGAACATTCATATTAAATTTTAATACACATGAATTAGATGTTATTAAAGCAGTCTAAAAACATCAATGTTGAAACGCGGTATAAAATGAAAAGAAGGCTATGGCGGTTATGGATGCGAGAATGGATACGCAGACAGACACGGAGGCGAATTGAACGAGGAGACATGAGTAAAGACGGAGGAAGAGACAAACAGGCGAATTTGTTTATTTATTCAATTATTTATTAAAATTTCGAAACTAACTTCTTTCAATGAGTCCCACGAGCTATTATTTGATTAGTGAAAATAGCGATAATGATATTGAGGTAAATGGGGATTGGTGTAAAGAGTGTCAGGGGAAACTGTGGAACGCTGAGAGAAGTATCGCGAGCTTGCTTTCGAGGAGGTAGAGGCGGGCACGAAAGCGAAGAGGAGACTGATACAGAATTGTGATGGGGACGGAGGTGGAGATAGTAACAAATGATGGTTAGAACAAATGCGAAGACGAGGAAAACAGAGATAACGTTGCAGGTGAAGGAGAAAACGAATGCAACATAGACACAGGCAAAGTGGCGAAGGCGGAGATGGGGACGGAGGTGGAGCCCGAAACAGAGGTGGAGATAAAGGCATGGGGGAGCGGCAGAACTTTAGGTGAAGGAAGAGACAGATCCAGTGACGGGCGAGGCCCAGATAATATTGACGATAAATACGGAACGAAGGCGAAATGGAGTCAGAGGCGGAGTGGTGAAGGCGGAGATGGGGGCCGAGGCGGGAGGGTTGGAGGGGCGAGGTTGTGGCCGGGGCGAAGCGTGACAGGAGGCGCGGAAGGGGGGGGGGGCGGTTAGCATGCGCGGCGGCCGTTTCGAGTGCGTC